AAGGTAAGAGGCTCAGAGAGATTTCATTTCTTGTGAAAATCACACAGCGTGGGCAGAGCTCTGCCGGTGCCCATGGCAAGGAGGCCACGTGGAGCTGCCGAAGTGGGGCTCCTGCATCTTTCCTTTTCACCTTCAACTTCCAGACCAAGGACAGTGGCCCCTCCGACAGCGACACCCCTTCTTGCTCTCTGGACTTTGTGTCCTGTCAATTCTTTGGTAGCACGTGCCCCTGGAGGTGAGGGACTCTGTTTTATTACTGCATTATTCTGCATATAAAGCAGAAACATAAATACCCTACACACGTATGGTAACCCTATCATTTATCCACCAGACCAAGACTCCTGGAGAGTGAAAGGGGCACCACTGGTGGTCACCTCAGGACGATGGGCACAGACCAGGACCCGCCTGAGCAGGAGGTGTGACAGGGCCTTGATCTCCAAGGATCCGACATGACACAATAACCACTGCAGTGACAGCCGTGTCACCGCTGTCACTGAGCTTCTGGCCATTAGCCCTGTGCCCGCCCACCACCTGGAGAGCAGGTGGACAGTGTCATTCCCACTCCAGGCCTTACAGGGCTTTCCCTTGAAAGCGACTCCATCTCATACAGTTTCTTGGGAAATCTGAATTGCAAACATGAATCTGTAGCTGCCACATCCTTGCTGCCCTTTCTCCTTAGATGCCAGGACCCCAAGTTGATCGAGTATTGACCCGCCACTTCTGCCTCCACAGTCTCTCACTTTCTTGTTTCCTCAAAACCCTTTCAGAAGCAGATGGGGTGCAGGTCATAAACATGGTTTCTAAAGGAACCAACCTGGGTGCACAGGTGGCCCTTGTGCCCCACTGCCCAGCCCTGCCCAGCACTGAGGCTCCTGCAAAGTCCCTTCCCAGGTGGGTCCCCCCAGTGCCCTTCTCTCTCAAGTCAACACAGTGCCTGGAGCCAGGAAGAGACTCCTCTCCATTGTGGGGGGCTGGTGGGTGCATCAGGGGCAGTAAACAGAGCTCCAGCCTTGCAGGCTGCACTCAGGATCCCCACATCCTCCACTGGAGGCCCTCTGCTGAGCCCAGGCTCTGTCAGCTAAATGATCCTGGGCATCCAGGGCCATGAGCCGTCCAGGGGACCCCACTGCTCCTCCCAGCCCCCAACTCTGGGCCCTTTCTGCTGGCACCACCTTTCCCTGATCCCCCCGTGGAAAGCCAAGACATCATGGAGGAAGACCTCCGCTTTCATGACAAATCTAGAGACCCTTCTACCCACTCCAGAAATAGGCCTCAGTCCTCTTGTGTCATCCTGCCTGGACCCTGTGAGCTGGGGACGTGCCTGTGCCCTGGGCAGCACCCAGGTATGGACACCACAGCCTCCACCCCTGTGGAGTGGGGCTGTCTGCGGCCTCCTGCACAGTGAAGGATGGGAGGCCTGCAGACCCAGGCCCACCACCCTGGCCGGCATGTGGTATCTGAGTGGGTCAGTGCAGCCAGGACCTGAGGGCTACTCAGGAGGCCCCAGCCCTGGCCTCCTCACCCCACCTCGAGTGTCTGCTATGTTGTTGCTGTTGGTAATTCCTCGCCAGGTGGACCCTGGTGCGCTGTGGGGCTTCATTAAGCTCAGCCAGCTGTCGTGGAGCTCAGGGGACGTGACGCGTGGCAGAGCCAGCCTCAGGCAGGGGGGAGGAGCTGAGGAGGAGGGGAGCCCTGAGTCTCTGGGGAGAGGCCCCAGGACGCTCGCTGGAGGGCAGCCACCAGGGAGGGCTCAGTGTGGGTGTATGTGTGGGTGTTGTGTGTGCGTGTGTGCGTGCTGTATGTGTCTGTGGTGTCTGCATGTGTATTTGTGTGTGTGGTGGGCGGTGTATGCATGAGCCTGTCCATGAGTCCTCCTCCAGGTAGGACCAGGCTGGGTCAGCATTTCCCACTCATTTCTCAGAACACGCCTCACAGCCTTCTGAGAATGGCCACAGATTCCCCACAGCTGGTCAGTGAGTGTGTGGAGCACAGCTGAGCCAGTCTGTTCCTCCAGGACATGCTGGAGCCCCTTTTGTGGTCAAGAGCTTCGTGTGGTCCCCTGCTCACTGTGTATGTAGGAGGGGCTGGTGCACAGTAGCCTGTGTTGCCTCCTGTCCCATTGCTGTGAGATAAGCTGTCTCCTCAGATGTATGAAGAACCCCGACAAGTCAGTAGGAAAAGAGGCAACAGAACAGACAGACTCTACCCAAGGAAGATCTGCAAATGGGCGACACTCAAACAGAAGCCTTGGGGATGCCGCCATGCCCAACAAGATAGCTCTAGTTAGCCCCAAGGTGGCTCACCCTCTTGCCACCACTCAGCAAAACCCAGGTATCACGTGCCAGTGGTGAACACAAATGTGCCCAGGACAGTCTTCACTTCTCTTCTACCCTGCACCCCCACCCCATTTCCCGATTTAGCCACTATGACAAGAATACGGCAGGCTGGGGGCCTCAAACAACCACCACGGAGCTCCCCCATTCTGTAGGCTGGAAGTCCAAGGTCAAGATGCCCACATACTCGGGGTCTGGTGAGAGCCCCTTCCCAGCTTGCGGACAGTACCCTCCCACGGTGCCCTCACTTGCAAGAAGTGGAGAGGGAGCCATATGGGGCTCCACCCCCATGACCTCATCACCCCAGAGGCCCCCCCTTAATGCCATCACACCAGGGGTTGGGTCTCAACACATGAATCTGGGAAGACAGTGTTCAGTCTCTGGCAGCACATTCTCCACCTGCACAGCCAGATTCAGCCCCTGCCTTGGCTGGGCCGAGGGCCACTCTGACAGACATCTACCAAGGGCAGGGGGACAGCGGGAAAGGAATGGCTCCTCCCTCTGACACACTTATCTCAGCTGTTGGAACAGAGCACCCAGGAAATGAATCCAGATTCCAAACTCTGACCAGAAGGAAGAGAACAAATGGAGACACTCATGTGTCTCCTGACAAAACCTGTAGTTTTCTAAACGTTTTTGCCAACAAAATTCCACTGGACTCTAAGCACCCCCTAGCATGGTGAGCAGAGTTCTCACTACCTGCCCAGGTCACAGTGTCAAGAGCAGGTAAGACTATTGAATGGAGAGAAAAGTGGATCCCTGCCAATGCTGATGGTTTTGGAAACCTTTTGAGACAATAGGGAAAAGTGTCCTCCCAAATGGAAGCCCACAAATGGGCTGGGTCCTACGTGGGCTGATTCAGCAGAGTCCCCATTCCCCCTCTGCCTTGTCCCCACACACATCTGCACATCTCACCAGCACAGTCATTGGCACCTTGTGCTCAGGCTCTTTTCAAGGATGCCTGTTTGGCCCGTCAAGCGGCCTTGACAGGGAAATCGCCCCTCCAAGTGGAGGGCAGGGTGATTTGTTCTCTGAGGTAAGAACAGGCGCATTTGCCTACAGCCCACATGATACTCTCAGGTTTCCTCGGCTCACCGTTCCTCAGGCACCCTGCATGCACAACACCTACCTGGACCACATCCAGGGAGGGAAATCAGGGCCATGAGGAAACTCGAGCTCCCACCGTGCTGTGGATGGCACAGCCCTCTGGTTCTGGTCCAGGATGCTAGTGTCCTGCCAGGATCTTCGAAACTAGGGTGGAGTAACTGATGACCCTCGGACTCATTGCAGGTCCCCACGGTGGTTGGGGCTGGTCTGAGAAGCCCTGGCGATCAGGGCATCACATGCAGACATGGGGTGACTCACATAGACAGAAAGGTGGTGGTCCTCCCTGAAAAGCCAGAAGCACGTTTCCCAGGAGTCTCCCTCTACGGGGTCTCATGCCCATTTCTGAACCTGCCGTCGAAGACATCCATCCGGAGGGCCTGTGAGCCCCGCGGGACAAGGCAGCAGCTCGCACTTCAGCCCGTGAAAGTCCTCTTTGTTGGCTCTGCCACCTCACTTCACCACTGTGTCCTGGCAACCAGACCTTCCCTCTTGAGGGAGCCTCAAGCAGCCCCCGGAACGTCATGAAGCCAGTGGCCCGGCCCCAAGAAGGCGGGAACCCCCAGGCCATTTCTGCTTTCTGGAGACAGAAGGCGTCTAACTCGGGGGACCATTTCCCCAGGGAAGCAGTCAGCCCTGACTCAGGTACTGCCCCTGTGCTGAGGAGCCGCTGGGGCTGGGCGCCCCTGCCAGCAGGGCCTAACCTTCCTGTCCCTGTCTTTCCAGCTGTCACCAGCCGGCAGCACTAGAGCCCTCCTCCGTGGCCCCCTTGCCAGGACGCGCCCTGCACCACCGTGGACATCCCTGCCAGGCAGCACTGGCACAGCAGCTGGACCCCCAGTAGCCTCCCGGAGTCCGTCTGAGCCCTTCCCCCACGAAGCTCCTGTGGGGGAAGGAGTAGGGTGAGGTGAGGAGTGGCTGAAGGACCAGCCCCTCACGTGGCCCAGACCAGCGAGGCCTGACCTTGCTCTGGCCACTGGCCTCACCTGCCTCGACAACCTGAGGAGATGGGCTCCATCAGACCCGTCAGCCAATGGCAGCCAGCCCAACTTCCGGTCGGCTTAAGCTCCTCCACATGTAGATGATTGACATGTGCTGGACCCAATGAGCATCAGAAGGCACTGCGCCTGCGCAGGAGTTGCCTTCACACCTTGCTGGAAATTGTTGCGCAGGTGGAGGAGGGAAATCCAGAGAAGCAGCCATGTGGCCGCAGATCTGCCTCTGGAGGGCCCTCCCTTATACTCTAGCAAGATGCCTGCATTGTGTTGGGAAGGAAGGTCTGCAGGCGGGGTTGGAAGGCAGGACGTTTGGGACATCGGGGTCCACCGGGGGTGCTAGTGGGACCCCAGGTGGCGAGAGGAAGGAAGAGTCAGGTGGGGAAAAGGACCCAGAACCCAGAGACCCTCAGCACTGGTACCCTGGCTGTCTGGAGACCCAGAACCAGGCCCCAGTTCCTTTAACCGCCGGGGTGTGAGCTGCCTGCATAATGGTGGGCAGGGGTCTGAGCATTCTTCCGACACGTGGCAGGGGTACCATCGAGACTGTCTTCTCCTCCACGGTCAGCCCTTCGGCTGGAGGAACAGGTCATGAGCCCCATCTTCAGTGACCCCGTTCACAGGGTTCTGGCCATTCTGCCCTTGGCTCTGGAGCTCCCTTCCTCCATTGGGTCAGTCTTCTCTGGAGGTCTCCTGGAGAGTTATGGACAAGGGACGCCTTGGGGGCTGCCTGACTGCTGGTTATTTGCTTTTGTTGTGGCACTAGCGGTAAAGAACCCACCTGCCAATGCAGGAGACGTAAGAGACATGGGTTCGATCCCTGGTTGGGAAGATGCCCTGGAGAAGGGCATGGCAACCCTCTCCAGGTTTCTTGCCTGGAGAATCCCATGGAGAGAGGAGTCTGATGGGCTATAGTCCATAGGGTCACAAAGAGTCGGACACGACTGAAACGACAGCACACACACACGTGTTGCTTTTGGCACATAAGTGTTCTCCATTTGTCATTACATTTTTTAACAAGAAGGATACTTTCTTCAGACTCTGCCCTCCCTCCAAGCCTGGATTTCTGGTCAGTGATGGCCTTGGAGCATTATTTGGGGAAGAGAGGCCTCCTCAGCCACCCTCTATGGAATTTCCACCTTGGCCCCCAGGTCTCTGGGGACAGAGGTTCCAGATGTCCCCTCCACAGCCTGTCCTGCTGATGACTCTGAGCAGTTCAGTCTCACACACTGCTAGGCCCTGGGGAGACAGCCTCGTGAACTCTTGGCCTGGGACTCAGCCCCCACCTGGCAAACAGCTGTGGCCCTGTTTGGAATGCATGAAGCAGGGGAGGGATTCATCAGATTCCTGAGACAGCCCATCACAGCTGGCTGCTTCCTAGGTGGGGTGTACAGATATAAAGGGCACCCTTGCCCTCCTCACCTGCCCCCACTGGCCAATGCCCTCGATCTCTCCAAGTGCGTCCTCCCAGACCCACACGCTCCCTGAGAGCCTCAGCCAGGCCCCCTGTCTGCTCCACCAACAAATCTGCTCTGAAGGGAAGGCCCTGGACTTGGGCCACAGGCCATCACAATCCCTGAGGCTTGGTGTAAACTCAGAGCCCTGAGATTCACCAACCTGGGCGGGGTGGGGCCAGTGAATCTGCATTTCACCACGCTGGGTGGCTCTGAGGATCGCAAGCTCAGAGAGGCTGGGGGCAGCGCTGAACAAATACACTTCTGGCACATCCTTGGTGGGCACCTGACTCAGGAGAAACAGGCTCACTAGGTGGCCAGCAAGAGGTGGGGTGGGCTTTGGGGAGCCAGAGAGGCAGGGAAGGACCAGGTGCATCCTGGGCCCCAGCGAGTGTTGGGGGCAGGGGCTTACTTGCTCCTTGGCATGTGGGATCTCAGCTTCTTCCTTCCACCTTAAAAACCCAGCCCGGTGAGCACCGGGAAGGCTGCCAAGACAGGGTGGAGGCGGTCTGGGCCTTCACTCGGAAAACAGCCAACAGCAGTGGCAGGTGTCCCCCCAAGGTTCATTTTTAATTGGATTTAATTATTTTCCATTTAATTGCATTTTTTAAAGCTCTCCCTGGTGGTTTCTGGATCTGAGGGTTTTTCCTCTCTGGGCTGGATGCTTGGCTCATGTGGGAGTGAAGAGACAGAAACGGGGCTCCCTCAGGACCTGGGAAGAGCCCGTGGGCCAGGAGCAGAGGGAGTTGGAACTGCAGTAGGAGACCAGAGCCAGGAGCTATCCTGCGTCCCTCCCTCGTCCAGCTGGGTGGATGTCAGCCTTCCCTAAGGCCCCTCACTCTCCGTCCGTGACTCTCCCCAACCTCACTACCCCTCCCACATTAGGCTTCCCCCATTGCTCCCCTGGCCAGCTCCTAACTGACCACCTCCCCAAATCCACCTCCATCTTCAGCTCCAGCTCACAGAGCCCCTCCAGGTTCCCTTGACCTGTCCTTTCACACCTCTGCACCTCTGCAGGTTTGCACCTCTCCCTTCTCCCTTCCTGAAACATCCCAGAGCCAGGTACTCAACAAACACCTGTGAGCACTTAGCACACACAGACCTCGGCACGGAGATACCTGATGATGAAATGTGCCTGCAAAGGATGTGTAGAAACTCCCATGAAGTGGTGCATCTCCCCCACCCTGGGGCCTGGGTGGGCCTCTGACTTGCTTTAGTCAATAGATCGTAGCAAAAGTGACGTGTGAGTTTGGAGCCTTGGCCCTAAGAGGTCACACGGCCTCCACTTCACCCTCTTGGAATGCTACCCTGTGCCCACATGGGAGGAGGCTGGGCAGCTTGTGGGGGCTGAGGCCCTGGACAGCTGACTCTACCTGCCAGCATGTAAGCAATACTGTCATGGCCCGTCAAGCCCAGAGATCCTTTACTTGAAGCGACTGCAGCATAAACCCATGCAGAAGCCACCAACCCACAGTCACAAGGAATAGTCAATCCCTATTGTCGGAAGCCACTTAAATGAGGGGTGCTTTGCTACACAGCAAGATACTGCTGATAGCAACTTCCCTGGTGGTCCAATGGTTGAGATTCCATCTTGCAATGCAGGAGACATGGGTTTGACCCCCTAGCCAGGGAACTAAGATCCCACATGCAGGGGAGCAAATAAGCCCACACACCATAACTAGAGGGCATGCACTGCAACAAAAGATCCTGCATGATGCAATGAAGTCCTCACATGCCACAACTAAGACCCCGCACAACCAAATAAATAGTTTTTAAAATAAAGAATCAGCTGATACACCACACAACAAGCAGACCTGACTCCCCAGACATGGCCTGATCCCCCATCTCCCCCAGCAGTGCCAGCCTCGCTGTCCTCTTGGGGCCCCACAGAGCTTCACGCACATGCTGACATGGGAGAACTGATTTCAGGGTCCTCATCAGCAGCTTCTGTCACCCACTAGGGTGGAGTTCAAATTGCCTGGCCAACCAGCATCAAAGGCTGAACTGACCCTGCCCTGCCCCCTACCGCTCCCCAGCCCCACACTCAGTAGCCCGAGCAGCTGCCCACTCTGCAGTTCTGCAGTGCCTGCCAGTGTCCAGTCCCTGCTGTGATGGTTCTGCCTATGCAATGTTCTTCACCAACTTCTCTACCCCACAGACTCCTCCTCCAAGACCCACATGTCCTCACCTCCTCCTAGGAGACCTCCTAGGTCTCTGGACACTGCATGTCCTGCAGTTTCACAGCCCTCTCTAGAGGCTCTTCCAGTCTGAGCTGCTGAGTTCATGCTTATCTGGCTGAGTTGCTCCTCCCTTGACTGCAGTCCCTGGAGGAGATACGTGCTGAGCACCACCCTCCCTGCAAACAGAGGCAGAGATGGAGTTGTTTAAATAACGGATGAGGACTTCTCTGGTGGTTCAGTGGTAAAGAATCCACCTGCCTATGCAGGAGACACCAGTTCGATCCCTGGTCCAGGAAGATTCCATGTGCCACAGGGAAACTAAACCCCTGGGCCACAACTACTGAGCCCGAGCTCCACAATTAGAGAAAGCCCACGTGCAGCAACAAAGACCCAGCACAACCAAAAATAAAAAAAGAAAGTGTTTTGTAAAATAATAATAATGGGATGAGATCAGATGCTTGCAAATAGAGGTGCCTATATCTCCTTCCTTGCAGCCCCCAGGGTGTGTGCACCCCTGTCTGGAACCCCAACTTAGATTGGGAGCTTGATGGTTGGTACCTAGTAGTGTCATTACTGTGCTTCCCAATGGCTGGCACAGCACCTGAGCACGTGGTCCACCCGGGTGAATGTGGGTGGGTGAGTGAGTGAGTGAGTGGGTGGGTGGGTGAAAGGCTGGATGTCTGGATGGGTGGGTGTGAGGGTAGGTGGGTGGCTGGAGATCCATGAGAACAAAGTAGAAGCTTGGCTTCCCAAACTGGGTAACTTTCTAGCACGAGATGTATTGCTGCAGAGGAGGTGGCATCCTCTGACTGACCCTCTCTGTCTGTCTGTCTGCCACTGTCTGTGTCTTTCTTCCTCTCCTCTCTCTACCTACTCTGCTAACTCACTTCTCCTGACACTTTCTTGCCCCTCACCTGGCACAGACTGCATGGGGGAGTTGGACAGGGTGCCTGGATCTTGGGATGGAGGAAGCAACTTTTCCCACAAGACTGTGGTTCAGGACCACGGACAGAGTGACACTTCCAGAAGGACCGGTGCAGGCTCATCCGGGGGAGCTGGGGCTGTGGCCACAACACCAAAAGCTCTGGCTCCATTCGTGCCTGGGTGTGCAGTGTGCACCCCCTGTGTCAACTCTTTTAATCTCCACAACTGTCTGTGAGGGCAGCCCTGTCATGTTCACTTTACAGATGAGGAACCTCAGATTCAGAGCAGGAAGTGATTTACCCTGAGTCCCACAGCTTGAAAGAAGAGGAGTCAGGAGTTAGACCCAGACATAGGACCCACAATTTCATGCACTCTCCTTGCAAGACTGATGGGATGCCGACTGATGCTAGGTAGCAGTTGACCACCACGCTCACCTTACATGTGGGAACACTGAGGTTAATTGTGCATGGGCGCCAGAAAGAGGAGCTACAGAAGAGGTCAGTCTGTCTCAGATCACCATGGACAGCTGCAACCCCCAGAAGCAGCCCACAGCTTGGCCTGGGTGCAAGAGTCAGCTGGTGACGGGGAGTCAGGGAGAGCCAGGTGCATCAGCCAAGGCTCCCTGTGCCTCCCTGGGTACTCACTATTGAGAAAGACCTTCCTATTATAATTCTCATTTATTTATAGTTCTCATCAGTGATTATTAATAATGCTGAAATTTGCACAGAGCTTTCCAGCTGACTAGGAGCTCTAGATCTGGGTGACTTGGCATTTGCTCATGAATGAAGCCAGATGCAGAAGCAGCCTGGCCTTGAGGGAGGGGAAGCAATGGCACTGGCATCCAGGAGGTGAACGGCAGCTCTGAGCACAGGCGCTGGAGAAGGCAGTTCCTCAGCCCAGAGGATAACTGTCCTCACATGCAGGACTGATGCTTCCCAGACCTGGAGGCTCGCAAGACTAAATATACACCTTGTTGACTAGAAAAATTAGGAGTTTGGCTATTTTTGTGCCCTTGGACTTTCTAAAATATTTCCTCTCTGCATTTTGTGCATTTTCCTTTGGATGTGCTGGCTGCTATGACCTCATCCAGGAGGTAAGGCTTCGTCCCTTCTG